CGGGAAAGAGGAATTATTCTTCGTCAGGCTTCTAGGAACAAGGTTACCGCTCTAGGGATAAGGTTAATCGGATTATACCTTCCTCAAGAGGCGTGGTGAAATGATTGAGGCCATGGTTGGCTGGAGTCAGTCTGATTGTGGAAGTTGAACTAGCAAGTCCTTTGGATCCCCGTTTGTGGCAGCAGCGAAGTGTAGCAGACAGCTATGCGAGAGCCTGTTGTGATCTTAGTGACCAAGTTAAGTCTGCAGTATGTGAGTATTGAATGAAAGACTAACCGGGTGTGGAGCGTTGTAGTAATCATTCCGTATTAGGGACTTAGGCGGAAGTTACGAGTGTGTGTGGTGATCGCGGAGGTCAAGTGGTCTATGGGTATTGGAAGTGTATTGACCTAATAGAGTATGTTAATTAATATAGTATTATTTGTCAGAGTCTATTCTTTGTAATTAAATGACAAAACCCGACGGCCTTTAAATACCTTCCATATGTTCACTCATTGTGTTCCAGTACAAACCTAGTGGTACGCCTCAAGGGTCTGGTGTGTGTAGGAGTACACGGTGGTAGTAACGGTTGCTGAGGCAAGGTGTTATGTGTTGTGTAATCGCTGTGTTCGGAATGAACCGGGGTTCAGCGTCACGACAGCGTCGAGTGCTAGCTCCAGAACTCCGCCTTAATAAAAGCTGTTTGTTGCCTAATGCACTGTCACAACCAACATGTTTCTGATCATATCTGCGTTTGAAACTATTTACTACATAACTGTCCTCCAATATCGACCACACAAGCATCCTCCTTGATTACTTCAGGTCAGAAGAGGCGCTTCACTAGTGTCTAGAGCGGGTCAAAACAAAAGAGGTCAAAACTCTTTGATCATCGTTCTTGCTACACTAGAGTTTAGGGTGGATAGGAGGTTCATTTTCTCTATATACCTTTCGCTAATTCGTAGAATGAATACATATATATACGTAAAGTATTCAAATACTACAATATTCTTGACAATTCATATCAGTTCATTTATTATGCACCCCATACCCATCCCGTGGGCGGTAGTGGAAAGGGTTACAGAGGCACATAATCACAGAGGCACTTAATTCATATCATCAGTAGTGTATTATGACAAATATAAAATGAAAATTATGTGAATGAAACAGTATATTACATTTTTGTTTTATTTGGATCAAGCGTTCAAGGTGCCACAATTAATGCCACTGTTAATCACAATCACACCCGAAAATGATTAAAAGTTCCCCGCTGACCTGAATCGCTTTCATTAAATATTCGTTAACACGAGAAAGACTTTTACTGAGCTCTATTTTTTGTTCTTAAATATTTCCTCTGCAAGAGTCAGGTGATGTAAATTGTTAAAGAGCTCGTTAATGGATGTGAATACCTAATAATTATCGATTAGAGTCACGTTAAATGCAAGATTCTAGACTGATGTAACGATTTGAAAAGCGTCGTATTTGAAGTGGTTTTGACTAAAGAAAGCGTATGAATCTAAGATTCTAAGATAGATAATCTAAGATAGATAATTTGGAACGGTACTTTTTAGTACCTTTTTTTTTTTAGTCCGATGAATATTTTTTTTACTTTTAAAAAGGCACTTTTTAGTACCTTTTTTTTAGCCCGATAGATAATGAATGTTTTTTTGTTTTCTTTATGTTCAGTTGATGAATTGGGCCGCAGAGGAAGCAACCAATCAACGCATTTTAATATATAAAAAAATATTTAAATGCAAATTTAAAGCACACTAGAGCATATAAGCATTCAGCATACGTACTCTCAAAGTATATGCTATCAGCATGGATGCATCAGCATGGACCCTCATTATATGTGCACTCACCACATAATATATACGCACTAACACTTATTTACTCAACACATCATCATTCAAAATTATTGCAGTCAACCTTACCGCTCTTAACATATTCATATTCATCATAGGTGCATTCATCACACAGGTACGTATTCAACATGTGCATTCACCATAACGAGCTCATCGTAAAAATCATCAACATTCAATATATACACTTAACATATACGTGTTTAACATTAATGCACTTAATATAAACGAATCCAACATTCCAATAAAGTGTTAAGTACGCCACCAGAACGCAGTAATCCTCGAACTAGCAGTAAGGTGGCAATCATCGAAGTGCAGCTGGTAGAAGACTATTCCTATCGGATTTATATCTATCTCTTGAAACTATGTATTTATTATCAGCAATGTTACATTGAGAACATTTCCATATTTTGTGAATTTCTTTGCTTCTCGTAATGTTCTTTAAAAAAATGGAGAGAAAATATCGTGACTTCTAAGCGTGAAAAAGTAAAAATTTTGTTAATTGAAAATTGATATATATCAATTTGAGTGACCTTTGTAAGGTATGTATTAACACGTTGTACTGAATGGGGTGAGAATAGCTTGAGCTACCTCATCCCTTTGTGTGTATTTTACCTCAATAAACTTATTCCAATTTCAATTTCAATTGTAAAGTAGCTCAGTTGTCCCCTTCCCATCTACACTAGTGACAGAAGAAAATGTATATTTTTTCGTCATGGGAGCTAATCAGGCGATCTTCTGGAACTCCGGGGACATAAAGAAGTCAATTGTCTTACGATTTCCAGGAAGTCAGAATATACCGACCTCGGCACAGGGGTAATTTTCTCAGGCAATCGTATTACAATTTTTAATGTATTCTTAAGGGTTTTAAGTGATTAGGTGGTTAGAGGATAAGGGCTTAACGTCGGTACCGTTAACAGTCTATTTACCTGTAGATTTACCTGTAGGATTACTAAATTAATCACATAATGTTAGAGGGATGAAAATGATAGTTATGCGGTTATTCTTAGGCTCAACAACAACATTCGCAAGTGATGAATGTTGCGACTCACACGCACGCACGCACGCACGCACGCACACACACACACACACACACACACACACACACACACACACACACACACACACACGTAAGGAGGCCTCGCGGCTGAATGGACAGTGCTATGGAGTCGTCGTCCTAATGGCCCGGGTTCAATTAAAGGCCGAGGCAGAAACAAAATATTCATAGTTTCTTTCACCCTGATGCTCTGTTCACCTTGCAGTAAATAGGTACCTAGGAGTTAGACAACTGCTACGGGCCACTTCCTGGGAAATGTATGTGTGTGTGCGTGTGTTAGAGAGAAATATATATAGTAGACATAGTAGTAATAGAAGAAAAATAGATTGATTAAAAAGGCGGGGACCAGGAGCTAATAGCTCGATTCTGCAGACACAAATAGTAAATACACTCACACACACACACACACGAACACACTGATTGCAAGCATTTTCACTCATTTTTAGTTAAATAATTCCTATATTCTACTGTGCAGCTCCTCACTCACTTCCAAGTCAATCTCAGTAAATTTATAATCCTTCTTCCTCTCATCCACAGTTTTATCACCTATTGCTTCAATTATGCTTTCTTTCTGCAGCAGCCGAATAGAGGATTGGGTTGTGCCTTCTCACGCTCACCAATTTCGCTTTTTAAATTGAATCTTTGTTTCTCGTCTCGCTCTGAGGACACTATTTCTTTCTCTCTGGTAACCCTATCTTCTCTATGACATTCTTTTTCCTTGTAAATTTGCTGTACCCTCGTGCTTATACGCTTTACTTAAATATTAGGTTATTCCTATGCACTTCATTGTCTTCTCTCTCTCTGGAAAGCGATAAAGCAGAATTAAGACACTCAACCCACACGTCTGAAAATGAAGCAAGAGAAGACGTTTCGTTCCGTCCTGGACCACCTGGACCAATAACAAGTCCACACGACTTTATAATGGTCCAGGACGGACCGAAACGTCATCTTTTCTCCATCTTCTGATGTGTGGTTTGGTCAGCATATCTTCAGCCACGTTATGGTGTCTCACTGTCTGCTTGTGAGGGGGAAAGCGAGAAAATAAAAACATCGTAGGAGTAAATAGGAATAAAGAAGAATGGCAGAACGCCAAATGAGTTAGGAATATATGTAAATGCTGAAGTCCTATTGGTCCATATGAGTTCTATGTGTTCCTGGTCGAAATTCTTTAATTTCTTCATTATTTTCCGGTAAATCAACCTTCTACGTGCTGTGTAATTCTCTTAACTGGTGTGTTTTTCTGTATGAGTGTGTTTTTGTGTATGAGTGTGTGTGTGTGTGTGTGTGTGTGTGTGTGTGTGTGTGTGTGTGTGTGTGTGTGTGTGTGTGTGTGTGTGTGTGTGTGTGTGTGTGCTCATTGAGGTCGTGTGAGATATATATATATATTTCGCTATCATTGTGCGTGTTACTGGTAATATTGTAGGTGACTTTGTTGATGCTGTGTTGGTAACATTGTTGTTGTGACATTAATAATGTTGATGCTGCTGATGATGGTGGTGTTACGGGTGTTAATGCTGCTGACATTGATGGAGACATTGATGACAATGGTGATGTTATTCGTCACATTTTCCCCTAACATTTGACCGTCATTTAGAAGCATTACATCTAAAAGGTTCTCCAAAAACTTTGTTTATCATATGCTTATTTTTTAATACATGTGCTTGTTAAAGCTCTCTCGTCTGAACACTTAGAACTTTCGCCTCCAAAATCAAGACGTCAGTTAAGTGGAGCCTTTGACCTCGGACCGACTGCTGGGGAGTGGAATGGGTCAAAGGTCATAGTGATACTGAAGGTCCCACTTTCCAGGAAAGTGCGGTTGAGGTATTTCCACAACTTTGGAGTGGAGAGTTGCTTAGGTTTCTCCTTACATGCGAGGTTTTATTTAGCATTTTTCTTACATCAGGCTTTGGCTTGCATGTTCCCTATTTACTGTTGATATTTCATTATTTACGTTTGTATATGTAAGAGGGGAAGGGGGGGGGGGGGGGGGGGGGGAAGGGGAAGACCAGTCGCGTTTTCTGAATTGTAATTTAAATGGCTGTATTATATAATTTGTATACCGAAAAAAATAAGTGAATAAAACAATTTGTTAAAAATTATGTGAGTCAGTTTTTAAGAACAGTTAAGTGGTTATAGTTATAAGCCTTTGTGTGGGTTGTGTGTGTGCTGTGGGGGGCTGTGGAGGTTGTAGGGGCTGTGGAGGTTGTAGGGGCTGTGGAGGTTGTAGGGGCTGTGGAGGTTGTAGGGGCTGTAGGGGCTGTGGAGGTTGTAGGGGCTGTAGGGGCTGTGGAGGTTGTAGGGGCTGTGGAGGTTGTAGGGGCTGTAGGGGCTGTGGAGGTTGTAGGGGCTGTAGGGGCTGTGGAGGTTGTAGGGGCTGTGGAGGTTGTAGGGGCTGTAGGGGCTGTGGAGGTTGTAGGGGCTGTAGGGGCTGTGGAGGTTGTAGGGGCTGTAGGGGCTGTGGAGGTTGTAGGGGCTGTGGGGGGCTGTGGAGGTTGTAGGGGCTGTGGAGGTTGTAGGGGCTGTAGGGGCTGTGGAGGTTGTAGGGGCTGTGGAGGTTGTAGGGGCTGTGGAGGCTGTGATAGCTGTATTGTTGTCTGATTAACGACGGCTGTTGTCAACCGTTATGAAAGCTGATGATCAAGGATCTCGAAGCTCAGATGGTGAGACAAGAGCTCCTTGATAAATATTGCAAAAGTTGTCACGAGAGCAACACATGATATCAACAAACGGAAACGTGTTATCATCATTTGAACAGAGATGCGGATCATTTCTCTTTCACGCATCACTTGCTCATGCTGTGCTGTATTTTTAGAACATCACTGTTTCATTTTCGGACGAGACAAAATTTATGTTTTTGTCATGTAAATGTATGTAAATAATCATGCAATTGCACGGTGATTAGGATAACGAAAGTCACGCAGGCAGCGGTTTGATTTCATTATTTAGTATGTGCGACAGTGTATTAAATAATGATTACAATATCAATGCAACAGACATCAACACAAGGTGATGCTGGAGATTGTGGTTTGAATAACAATCAATAGAATATTGGTAGCCGCGTTTGATGACGAACTGACTGAATTTTGTGCTATTCATATTTTGGCCACGATTGCATAAGAGAGATGATCCTCCTGCAAATTCAAATGCATTTATAAGCCTCATTTCTTTCTCTAATCAAATAGTTAACTATTATATAATTTGAATGTTACAACATTAGGCTCCTGCCACCAGCGGACCAGCCACACACCAATGGAAAACTATTGTATTGCTTTTATAATAGAGAGACAAAGGCAGACAGAATGAGACAAAAAGAGACTGAGAAAGAGACAGAATGAGACAAAAAGAGACTGAGAAAGAGACAGAATGAGACAAAAAGAGACTGAGAAAGAGACAGAATGAGACAAAAAGAGACTGAGAAAGAGACAGAATGAGACAAAAAGAGACTGAGAAAGAGACAGAATGAGACAAAAAGAGACTGAGAAAGAGACAGAATGAGACAAAAAGAGACTGAGAAAGAGACAGAATGAGACAAAAAGAGACTGAGAAAGAGACAGAATGAGACAAAAAGAGACTAAGAAAGAGACAGAATGAGACAAAAAGAGACTGAGAAAGAGACAGAATGATATGGTACCATCGTCGGTGTTGAGGAAAACTCATGTAAAATACTAGTTTATAAACACCTGTTTGATACAATAATATAATCATCTGTCAAACACAGACCTAGCTATAAAAACCTGTAAAATGTATACCTATAAGATTAACATATATGTATACCCAAATAGTTATTTTTAATTTGATAATTAGTAGGAAAATAATATTCCACCGTCTACTATTCTAATGTGAATTAAAGATTATTTAAAAACTTACAGAAATTTCGTTACAGGGAATGAATACAGGAAATAAGACAACAATACCAACAAGAGCACTATGGCAATACATATACTGGAATTGGATGGCGATACAAAAAGAATAATTTAGCAGGAAAATATCTGGGAGGTGAAATATCTTGAAGGGACCTACCCATAAGAGGAATATCTGGAAGGGGGGAATATCCAGGTGGGAGTGAGTGAGTACGGATGAAACGTAGATCCGACGATAGACACATATGTGTCCTTTACAATAGCTACGAACATTCCTCAAGAAACAATATATATATCATAGCAGGAGATAAGATGCGCATGCGCAGTGGGGAAAGAAGGGAGGTTCAAAATGTTGACCAGATCACACACTAGAAGGTGAAGGGACGACGACGTTTCGGTCCGTCCTGGACCTAGTCGATTGTGAATTTAGTCGATTGTGTTTCTCAAGTCGATTGTGAATTTAGAGTTACAAAATATTATCTAAGAACTTGTTCGGAAATACTCTATCAAAAACTATGTAATACAGCGAACCAAAGATTTTATATTGAAGAATATTGTTCTATAAATAGATTCCATGAAAGCTCTTAAATAGGGTACAAGATTATTAAATGTGTCAGGCTACATAAACAAAAATAAACAAAATATCACATAGACTGCATATGTACTCTCTACATATATGTTTTAAGATATATGCCAGTCAGCCTGAGTATCTTTATGCATTTATATTTACATGACTGGGAGTTTTTTCTCAAAATATTCCAGGACATGCAACACTAAAGTGTTCCAGTATGCAAATATGCAACACACACATCTTTTCACTGCATATCCCTGAATACTCCAGTAGAGTTTCCTTAACATTTAGGGAACATAAACAAAGGAGGACCTCTTGTAACGTACTTAATAACTACCAGATAGTTATCTTAATAACGGAAAGATTACCTAACACTCAGACCAGAACATCAACTCCTGCAAACCCAGCATGCGCAAGGCAATATACCCGCCAAACACACACCGAAACTACGACGTTGGTACAACGTTCGAACAAATTTTAACACTTCCTAACCAGTTATAACAACCAATATAGGAAGTTGTAACAACGTTCTAATATGTCATAAACACGTTAAGCCAAGATGTAACAACTTTATTACAAGTTGTAACATGCGGAAAATAGAGACAGTTTCGGTTTGTGTTTCCCAGGGTAAACTGGTATATTTACATGTCATTTAAACATATACATCAGTATGCTGCCCGACGTATATAAATTATTTTATAAACATTCTTCACCAATACTATGTACCTCCTCCTGCTTACAGGACTTAATAATGCACCTCTCAACATCTATAAGTTCTATTGGTATAATCATCAAACGGATACCTTACTAAACGACATATTTAACGATATGTTTAACGATATGTTTAACGACACATTTGCTGATCTCGGTAGATTAATGGAACAAATGAAAGTCTGTCGATAGCTCTGCAACCTGTTCCTTATATGGACGAGGTTTGAAGTTTAAATTATATGTGATTAGAACAGCGAGAAAGGTATCACTCATTCATTAACCCTTGAAATGTGAGAGTCACTTAGGGATGATCGAGTCATTTCTGACCCCTCAGCGCGAGTTAATGAGGAATGATTCAATTTCACTAATTTCTGGCTTTGAAAAAGTGGTATTCGTGATGAAGTTGAATTTGTTTATTTGTTACTGTCACTGAGATCAATACGAACGGGGTGAATATTAAATTAAAAAGCAGAGAAAGTATTACTTTAATATGCAGGAAAGTATTTCCTTAAGAAGCTGAGAAGTATAATCTTAGGACGCAGGGAACTTTTACTTTAAAATGTAGGAAGTATTTCTTAAAGAAACAAGAAAATATTTCCCTAAAATATATTGATGCATTACCTAAGTACAAGCAGCTAAAGCTGACTCATAATATAAGATCAATCCGAAGCATTTTAATGTCAGCCATCGATATCGTATTATAAGATCTATGCTCTTAGTGCTATAATCTTACCAAGAAATGTAGTTATATGAAATATTCGTGGAACAAATGAGTAAATTATACCTGCAGTAAACTGTAGGAGAAACATTATGATTTTGAACAAATCATGTTTCTGTGTGTAGTGTAGTGTAGTGTATCATGATTTTGCTAGTGTAACGGCACGGGACATTGTAGTGAGGAGGACTATAGTTACTAAAGTATACTTTATACTATTGAGTACACAAGTTTAGAACTCAACGCAGTTCAGGAGTAAACACATGTACGTTTGTCCTCAATAGTGCAGGACTAAAACATTTATTTTTGTCCTCAATAATTCAGGACTAAAAAAATTTACTTGCGTCCTCGTCATAGTCCAAGACTGAAAATGTTGACGTTTGTCCTCAATAGAGTACAGGACAATTTTTTTTTAGTTTTGTCATCAATATTGATGGTTTAGGACCATAATTCTTTTCATAATTCATGAATATATATTTTACTTTAATCCTCACATTAGTTCAGGACTAAAAATTATACTGCTGTCTCAATATAATTGAAAACTAAAGAACACTTTTTAATCTCCAAAATAATTCATAGGTAAAGCAACTCCGAAGGTACATAAAACAGAAAAGCAGGATTCATCTTTGAATACAATTCCATCGCACAACTTACCATGTACGGGTGTGTAGAGGAGAAGAGGAGGAAAGAGGGTGACTAACTCTGTGATAAGGTCATGTCACGCTGGTGACATGACCTGGTCATGTCACACCCAGGTCACAGTCAATGACACATGGCTTCCTGGGAAGTCCAAAATGACTGTAGTTTGAGAAGAAAGTTTAAGATGAGCGGTTGTTAGTGTTCATCACTCTGGCATTCGAGCTGAGCAAGCGGGAGAGACAGAAACCTAAAACTGAAGCAAAAGTACGAAGATATCAAGAAAAAAAAAGAAAATAATAAAAAGAAAACTAGCGATTGAAAAAGCCCAAAGACTAAGATCGAGGATCCAACTATATCCTCATATTGATACATCCTCATATTGATACATCCTCATATTGATACATCCTCATATTGATACATCCTCATATTGATACATCCTCATATTGATACATCCTCATATTGATACATCCTCATATTGATACATCCTCATATTGATACATCCTCATATTGATACATCCTCATATTGATACATCCTCATATTGATATATCCTCATATTGATACATCCTCATATTGATACATCCTCATATTGATACATCCTCATATTGATACATCCTCATATTGCAACAAGAATCTAAAGCATTACATAACTCTATCGACTTGACAAGCAATAGAAACTACTACACTTATGTTAGTATACCGTTCACAGAGACAGCAGGAGTTGGTTTACCGTACAGAGGTAGCACGAGTTAGTTTACCGATTACAGAGGTAGCAGGAATTAGTATACCATTCACAAAGGGAAATAGAGGCTAGTTTACCATTCAAAAGTCAGCAAAAGTTAGTATACCATTCACAGAGGCAGCAGGATTTAGTATACTAACTACCATTTTCATTGTACCGTTCGCTAAGGCAGTAGTTGCCAGTGAACGGCCCCTCTGATGCAGCAAGAGTCAGTGTATAATTAACAGAGGCATCAGGAATCATTGGAAAATTTACAGAAGCAGGAATAGTTCATGTAGAGTTTGCTGAGGCAATATGTAGAGTCAATAGTCAGAAGGAGAAACGCAAACTTTAAAGAGGCAGAAAGTGTCTATATTCAAGACCTGGAAGCTGATGCAGGTTACCATAAAACATTAATGCATGTAAAAATGTTATTAAAAAGATATTAAAAAAGTTACGATCTGTCAATGCCAATTAAAGCAGTTGATTGTTAATACATTGTTGACGAAAGGCTTTGGAAATGTAACATCAAGAGGATTAAAAACGAAACTACTCGCACATCGCCTCTAATGATCTTCTAGCAGATCATCCCTACGTGATAAATGTTTTAGTAGATCGTACCTGTCTTTTCAGTAGATCGTACCTGTCTTTTCAGTAGATCGTACCTGTCTTTTCAGTAGATCGTACCTGTCTTTTCAGTAGATCGTACCTGTCTTTTCAGTAGATCGTACCTGTCTTTTCAGTAGATCGTACCTGTCTTTTCAGTAGATCGTACCTGTCTTTTCAGTAGATCGTACCTGTCTTTTCAGTAGATCGTACCTGTCTTTTCAGTATATCGTATCTGTCTTTTTTTAGTAGCTCGTACCTGTCTGATCATTTTCAGGCACTACTGACAGACAGATGACCTTGAAATACCACATGCCTCCATGCCATAAAAATATTCCTTCGTCAGTATGTTATTTGTTTTGATATTAAAATGTCAAATATTTTTTTGCCTATATTGTAAAAGTGACCAGTAATACTGTTGACTTAGATGACCAGACCACACACTAGAAATTGAAGAGACGACGACGTTTCGGTCCGTCCTGGACCATTCTCAAGTCGATTGTGAATGGTCCAGGACAATGGTCCACAATCGACTTGAGAATGGTCCAGGACGGACCGAAACGTCGTCGTCTCTTCAATTTCTAGTGTGTGGTCTGGTCATCATACTTCAGCCACGTTATTGTGACTCATCGCCTGTTGACTTAGATTGCATTAGCAAGCACGGGTTCATTGTTGTATTTAAAACATTAATAAACCAATATTGTAGTTTCATTCAAATTTGGCAATACTATGAGAAAATTCATTCACAACTGACAAAATAATTTAAGATGAATCTGACTTCAAGAGCAGCTGTCGCCATTCATAGATGAGGTAATCGTTAATATTAAATGCAGCATGGCGTAATTCATTTTAATGACGGCATTTATAATAAAAGCTTACAATTTTTATTTCTATCATGCAATTATATTTATTGTAATTCAATGTACTTACCTACTGTCACACAACCACAACCATGGATATGATAGATCAAATATAACACCAACAATGACCTCCACTCTAGCCAATTCAGAGTCGGTGTCATACATCTACTATTGAAAACCAAGAAGTGCCTACCACACCTATACAATTACAAAGTGAAAACTCTAATTGGTATAAACGATCTATTAAAAGAATTAATTGAATAGAGGCCACTATTCTCGGCCTCCATACTATCAGCCGCGTATCGTAACCAGGATATTACTTATATTTTTTTCAATCTTTGGCAGCCTTGTCTACATTTATCATACAGTTTATAAGTATTGAAACTTCCCAGTTAAATGTTGTTATTGTTATAAAAACCTTCTTAAGTGCTTCGGAGCTCATAAACTGTTTATTAAATGTAAACAAACCCTGCCAAAGAATGGGAACACTGCTGTACAATGTTAACATTGTACAATGTTAACATTGTACAATGTTAACAACCTGTACAATGTTAACATTGTACAGGTTGGTAAGTACCTGTGTAAGTGCTCGGTGAGGCCTGGTCTAGGTGGTGTATTGTCAACATCAGCGACGGTCTGTCAGTCAGCAGCAGACACAACATGGCGCTCAACTGTTAAATCGGCGGCTAACCAAGAGTGGTCATCATATTATATATATATATATATATATATATATATATATATATATATATATATATATATATATATATATATATATATATATATATATATATATATATATATTATATATATATATTATATATATATATCATATATATATATATCATCTATATTGGGTGGTTATAGATAAAAGCTGCCTCGTATGGGCCAATAGGCCTTCTGCAGTTGCCTTTGTTCTTATGTTCTTTATATTAGATATCTTTCCTACCCGGTAGCTAGGCCTTGCACAAATTGCAATGACCTTATTTCTGATGACTGCCAGTGAGATATCAGAAGTAAGCAATGGCACAAGAAAAGGAAATCAGGAGGATACCTATCTAGCCAACTTAGATTTGAATAATCAGGATCAAATGTCTTTTAACATAATCTCGGAACAAACAGCGAAATTTTCATGTCTGGTTTACACATTAGCAAGTCTCCTACCCATACCCAAGATGAAAACAGGTGCCTGGATTATACGTGTATTTACCATTAGCCTACCAAACAGCGTGAAAACATGAGGGGTCAATTCACTTAGCAAATTGTCTGCCAACATCACAGGCTTCGTTACCAACGTTATCTATCTCACACCAGCTCGTCCACTCAACTAATACACGTACAAATGACAAAGTACTATGAAAAGTAGCTGCTCACAAATATCCAGGCGAAGTCACGGGAAGAGAGAGAGACGTAGGACGCAGGGAAATCAGGGGAAGTGAGAAATATTGAAGGCAAAGCAACAGGGATAGAGAGAGACAATTAAAAAGAAACGAAATGGATTGGAGTCTGGAGGTGTCCTTCAGACGACCCCTGGCCCGGAGTGCCAAGCATGCATTGATCATTTCACCCCAACAATTGGTAACGGTGGCAGGCCAATTACATTTGACAAGGGAAGGTTATTGAAGGATTATAGAGGCTCCCTTGTCAAGCTGTTACCTGGCACGTTCTCCCTGACAATACCCTCATATGGGTATCGTGGCATGAATGACATACATTCCCAGGTATCATCTACAGATTTAACCACCGGATTGTTTAAGGGAAATGTCTTCATGTTTCAACGGGACACTGTTGAAAAAACGTGTAGTAAACAGATCTCACCTAACTTGATGTGTGAATGTTTAATCTTAGATTTATGTTTCTGAACGATATCTTTAAATGTTTATAGAAAAAACAGTTGAGCGTTATGTGTTTATTACAAAATTTGCAATATATCACGGGCGTTGATTAGCTTTGTCGGGTTGTTGGTGATTTACTGTCCAGGTTTAGCCACAGCTCCGTCTGAACTCTGAGCTCTATGCCGCATAAACAGAACCGTTAAGCTTTATTGAGCACAAGAATGAAGTTTTTAAGGAAGTGATTGCGAACGTCATTGTTATTTGTGATGATTGCGCACACAAACACACACACACACACACAAACACACACACACACACACACACACACACACACACACACACACACACACACACACACACACACACACACACAGTATTAGGGTAGTTAACAAATGGAATGCAGTATAGGACGTGATGTGGTGGAGGCTGAGTCCATAAACAGTTTCAAATGTAGATATGACATAGCCCAGTAGGCTCAGGAAGCTCTACACCCGTTAATTGATATCTGAGAGGCGGGACCAAAGAGACGAAGCTCAACCTCTGCAAGCACAACTAGGTGAGTACACATACACACACACGCACACTGCTTTTTATAGTTATCTTGCTCTTGATTATCAATTTAGTGCACATGTTTGGTCATTAATATAGTAGAGATATGTGGTCAAGTGAGTGACAGGCAGAGACCCGAGCTATCCAGCGGTGCCCGGGGTCTCTGCCTGTCTCACTCTCTCTTTATATGTCTCTTTCTTTCTCTCTGCTTCCCTCCCGTTCCCTCTGCATCTCTCCTTCCCTCCTATTCTGTATAACTCTCTCTACCTTCGTAACTCGCCCCTATTCTCTTTCCCGCCCGTTCCCTATCCCTTCCTGCCTCCCTCCCTTCTCGTTTTCACTTCTAGTGGGCAAAAAATACTATATTAATATTTATCATTGTTACAGAAGTTATATCAGCCTTATCGACGCTGAATCAACGTCATCAACGTTGATTTAACATCGATAACATTTTTTTTTTATTAATACATGAGGTACATCTGCATTAGTGCAGCTGCCCTAGACTATACGAAGGGTAGTACAGTGTGTCAAAAAAGCTAACTAGGTGATGCTAAAAAATCCCCATCACACAGGATGGTTAGTCATACAGAGGCATGTGATAAGCAGTCTGCACTGGCAGACTCCGGATTCATTTTGAGGATATCAACACAAGAGTGAATAAAGTAGCAGTGGTAATAAAAGTCCCCATCTCGCAGGATGGTTAGTCATACAGGGCCATGTGTTTAGTTGTCGGCACTGGCAAATTTTGGGTACACTGTGAGGATATCTTCAAGAAAGCGAGAGTGAATAAAGTAATTACAAAGCTCCAGGTACCTCATGCCAACTGGTCTGAAAGGTCTAATAACTGGGCATTCGGTGATATAGTGCGGGAGATCATGCCGTAGTTCTTGCTCACAGAGTTTGCAACTGGAGTGCTCAGAATTGGGAGATCCGTCACCTGCAGCCACCTGCCACAGGTAACGGTAACCCAACCTGATCCTTGCAACCACTGTGTCATACAGCAGTAAAATCTATTTCATACCTCTATGGACAATCAAACCCACATTTCAAACTTCATAGTACTCGCTGGGAATCGGAATAGGAGCAGATCCTCCTTAAAGAGGGGCATAGGGAGGGAAAGGGGCGATCGAATCCAATCACGCTATGAAACTCGCCTCCCAATCACAAGTTCCCTTAAAAAGTTAAATAACGCTAGCCCCATGCCTCTAGCCCCCCCCCCCCCAATCTCGAGCGAATAGACACTCTCGCTCATAGATTTAAATGCATCAGAAACAGTTTTGTTGATCACAATGAGTTTATCGTTTTGAAGCTTCTTCTGGTGACTTCTATGATCATCAGGGATCCAGTTTGCATGAACAGCATGTATACTGCAATGTTGAATAAGCAGCATTGTCTTGCAGTATGAACAAGATGGCTATTACCATATTTTCATAAATAGTATAGATTTGACGAACTAATTTAAATGTTTTAAGTGATACAAGTAAAAGTTTTGATCCCCAAGAGCAAGTTCATAAGAATATTTTAGATATTAGATCAGAAAAGCAAGGAGTAAAAAATTATAAATCGACGTAAAAATTTTAAATCGCTTGATAATCATCTTACAAATTGGAGTGGGACCAAACTTCCTTGGAAGGAAATAAAAGCACCGTTTTCAAACAGGTTATAAAGCCACTAACCAATCAACTAAGATTATAAGAGCTATCGAATAAAAAAAAATCGCCGAAATTGAGTTTAACTCAAACAGTTTGGACAATATTAAATTTGTTGTACCTTTCAGGATTATTTTAGTTTTTGTATTATAATTATTATATTATTATTAAAAAATACATACTTCTGAAATATTTTATAATAGTATCATTAAAAGAAATTACTTTGACTTTCAGTGTGCTATTTTCATCGTGGGATGATCTAAATCAAATATGTTTTCTTTTCATGAAAATCAAAATTCTTTCATTTCTTCGCGCTTTCAAAATATTTTGAAATGAATAATCTCAATATTCTTTGCATCAGAACCTTTAAAATTATTTAATTTTGTTCAATTCCGATTTCTATCAGTTTTTTTTTATTTATGATCAAGAAATGTATTTGAGATTTATCCTTAACTAGTCAACATTAACTTAAATGAGTGATATTTACCGAAAAAATGATTAATCTCGACTTTTAGATATATGACATTTATCATTAATTTGTCAACATTATCCTAAATTTTAACATTTACCCAACATGATTAATCTTCACTCAACATTTATGACTGTTTCCATCAGCTGGCAACATTGACCGTTTATTGGTAGCAATAAACTTTTAATGTTTTATTTATTTTTATCTCAGTAAAGATATTTAATAGTATGTGTTGATGTTTGAGTATTAGTGTCCCCATTGCTTCAGAAGCACTCGGTGCCTGGGAAAAAAGTGCCAGTATAGTTTGTTAAAGAATCTGGGCTATAACCTCATCGAAAGAACAAGATACCCAAAAGCTACCAGCTCTCTTTTTCTAACTCATCAGCGTGGTAATACAATGGGATAACACACACTGCATTCATAGTCCCTGCCTGTTACCCGAGGAGTTTGAGGAACTTAAATATATATATATATATATATATATATATATATATATATATATATATATATATATATATATATATATATATATATACTGTATATATATATATATCTGTCGTACCTAGTAGCCAGAACTCACTTCTCAGCCTACTATGCATGGCCCAATTTGCCTAACAAGCCAAGTTTTCATGAAATAATTGTTTTTCGACTACCTAACCTAACCTAACCTATCTTTTTCGGCTACCTAACCTAACCTAACCTATAAAGATAGGTTAGGTTAGGTTAGGTAGGGTTGGTTAGGTTCGGTCATATATCTACGTTAATTTTAACTCCAATAAAAAAAATTGACCTCATACATAATGAAATGGGTAGCTTTATCATTTCATAAGAAAAAAATTAGAGAAAATATATTAATTCAGGAAAACTTGGCTTATTAGGCAAATCGGGCCTTGCATAGTAGGCTGAGAAGTGCGTTCTGGCTACTAGGTACGACATATATATATATATATATATATATATACTGTACAGTATATATATATATATATATATATATATATATATATATATATATATATATATATATATATATATATATATATATATATATATATATGTCGTACCTAGTAGCCAGAACGAACTTCTCTGCCTACTATGCAAGGCCTGATTTGCCATTTTAGCCAAGTTTTCATGAAATAATTGTTTTTCGACTACCTAACTTACCTAACCTAACCTAACCTAACTTTTTCGGCTACCTAACCCAACCTAACCTATAAAGATAGGTTAGGTTAGGTTAGGTAGGGTTGGTTAGGTTCGGTCATATATCTACGTTAATTTTAACTCCAATAAAAAAAAATGACCTTATACATAATGAAATGGGTAGCTTTATCATTTCATAAGAAAAAAATTAGAGGAAATATATTAATTCAGGAAAACTTGGCTTATTAGGCAAATCGGGCCTTGCATATTAGGCCGAGAAGTGCGTTCTGGCTACTAGGTACGACATATATATATATATATATATATATATATATATATATATATATATATATATATATATATATATATATATATATATATATACATATATATATATATATATATATATATATATATATATATATATATATATATATATATATATATATATATATATATATATATATATATATATATATATATATATATATATGTACATATATATATATATATATATATATATATATATATATATATATATATATATATATATATATATATATATATTATGCAAGTATTCTTGTTCAACATTTCTCTTGTTAGAGTAATGTCATGGGCTTGTCTCATGTGATTCCTAGGGGCACCAGATTGAAGATGGCATGTCAAACGCCTCGTCAGCTTGGTCGACGTCATACCTATGTACTTACATTGAAGGTTACATCCTTCGTGGGGGCAAGTGTACATGTATACAACGCTTGACTGCTGTAGAGGGTTCTCCGTCGGCTTCGGGCTGTTTTTGATAAGGAGTTCGGAAGTCTTCTTGGTTTTGTAGAATATTATCAGGTTTATGTTTTGGTTAGGAGTTGTGCTTTTTACTCCTTTACGGATTATTTCTTTCTTTAGTCTTTCCTCTTTTATATGTTATATAAATATAAAATATATAAATATAAATATATATAAATATAAATATATATAAATATAAATATATATATAAATATATATAAATATAAATATATATAAATATAAAATATGTTATATAATATAATATAAAATGTTATATATCTTTTATATATATATATATATATATATATATATATATATATATATATATATATATATATATAAAATATGC